CACTCAAAATGAGCAGTAATGTTAACTCCAATTTTATTTAAAGCCAAAGAGTACAGCTTTGGCAGCTAAAGAGCTGCTACCTCAGAGCAAGAGTTTCAAAATTAACCCATTTGATAATAAGAATATCTCCCTAGCCTGTTTTATTAGGCAGAGTCTGACCCAAACATAGCCAATTATCAGACTCTCCACAGTACAAAAATCCAAGGATTGATGACATTTGATGCTGGGGTTGTATATTCTGTTGTCTGTTTGTCTGATATGCACACAGGGCACACTTGACAGGTAGTGGCATGCCACACTTCTGTCCCAAATAGAAATAGGATGGCTTTAATTGGAGAAGAAAAGTCGAGATTGAGGACGGGCTTTAGAAGTCGAAGGTTTGGAAAAGGCACTGATGGTTGTCATGTGGGATGGAGGTGGCCAGTAGCTTTCTCTCCCACCTTCTGACTTGATCATTCACTAGTGTGGATGGGTCTTTTTGATTATCCTCAGAGGAGCCAGATTTAATGGCTAAACTTTTCATTATAAGGATAATTTTTGTGCTACAAAGTACAAAATGTCATATCACTTTTTTTTTTCCTGCTTGCATTCTGCTAACAAAACCAGGTGCCTGGCAAGCAAGTCTTAAAGATTAAGGCAGACTACAATTCATGGACACCAACTCATAGCAGCAGCTCAGCCCCCAGAGGCAGGTAGAAAGTATTCATGGATGATAAAATATGTAGGCAGCACGTGACATGTCAACTCGAACAAGGCTAGCTCTGCCTATTTCAGCTTGACATTATAAAGGTGAATTGTTTGAATCGTGAAAGAGAGAGTGGTGTTAACCTTAGGACCAGAAGGATGGCGTCTCCTGGAAAGCAGCTGGTACATAAATCTCTGCTGGTTGAGAAGCAGAAAGATACTTAATAGAAGTGTAATTGAAGGATTTTTTTTCTTCCCCCCTGAACTTAGTTTGGCCACTGTCAATGGGAATTATTCTACTCCCACTCCAGGGCAGGGCCAGCTTCTATGGTGTATCTAAGGGACATTCCAGTGACTGACTGCCTGCATTAGACTTGACCTTCCTTCTCCTCTGCCTTCTGAGATTCCCAGCAGGAAACTCATCTTGGAGATCAAGGTAGCAGTGGCTCTAGGAATAGCTGTTAAAATGCACAGTAATAATCGGGAGTTAGTACCCATTAACACTACTACACAGGTTGGTTTGTCAAATTAATAATAACCCTTCTGAGAGCAAGGACTTTGGAATCTTAAAAGAATCAAATCAAGCAGAAGCTTTAGAAGACATCTAGTTTGGGTTTCATTCTGTTTTTGAGGAACTTGAGGTCCAGAGAGGCTAAGTGGCTTGTTCAAGGTAACCAGAAAATCAGTGGCAGAGTTGGAGCTAAAACCCAGGTTTCCTTGGGTAATTGTTTCTAGAACCATGTAGCCTAAACCTCTTCTTTTACAGATGAGGGCACCAAATTCCACATGTGAGAAGAGACTGGCTAAGCCTGGATACCAACCAAATTTCCTATATTCTTATACAATGGTCTTTATATCACATTTTCTCTTTCCTCATATGCCCAGGACTGAAGGGAGATGATGAAGTAAAGGGTAAATGAATTATTTGTGTTTTGGCACATACTCTGTTGATCCATCAGTGAACACTGAGAGCCTTCTAGGTACAAAGCACTTCAGCCACTTTGGGTAATACACAATGAGCAAGGCAGAGGAGAGAGAAGGGAGTGTATCTGAAAAGTAGGACAGACTTGACATGATTGGGCACAAGGATGATTTCTGCAAAAGTTGTAGATGAGATAAAGGCCAACTTCCTGGGATGGAGGAGTTGGGCTGGAGGGTCACATTTGGGAGACAGTTTGCTCCACTGACCTTTGACTGTCATTGCAGGTCTAGAGTGCAGCTTTGACTTCCCCTGTGAGCTGGAGTATTCCCCTCCACTGCATGATCTTGGGAACCAGAGCTGGTCCTGGCGCCGTGTCCCCTCCGAAGAGGCTTCCCAGATGGACCTGTTGGATGGGCCTGAGGCAGAGCATTCCAAGGAGATGCCCAGAGGTAAGGATAGAGGCCACTGCAAAATGTCCTGGATGGGCCAGGATGGGGATGGAATGTCTACTTCCATTTGAAATTTTGAAGCTTCCCCACCCCTGCTCTATGCTGTTTATAATAACTGTGCCTCCACATGTCTTCTTGGGCTCTACGAGGAAGAGGAGAATGCAAGTCTAATTTCAATATCAATCCAACCCTTTACTGTCTTATCAAGTAAGAAAATAGGACTTCATAGCTCTCTTTCACACAGATTTCCCAGTGTAAGAAGTAGAAGAAAATGCTGATCTGTTTGTTCATTTGGAATGGGATCACCAAATAAAACACAGGACACCCAGTTAAATTTGAGCTTCAAGTGAACAAATGATTTTTTTAGTACAAGTATGTCTCATGCAATAGTTGGGACATACTTATACTCAAAATTACTCCAATTATACTCAAACATTCAAACATAATTGAGTGTCTTGCATTTTTATTTGCTAAATTTGGCAATCCTAATTCAGAAGGTATTATATGACTGAGTTAAATGTTCGTTTCAAAGCCATTAATGAATATTCAGACTGCATATTAATTTTGCAAGTTGCTTCCAGTAGTTCTGAGCTGTTTCTGAATATCCTTTTCTGAATTGTCAAGGCTGAAAAAGATAGGCTCAAGATAAGTGGTGGGTGCTTGTTAAATATTTGCTGAGTTTTTAGAGATGTGGAGGCACTAAGCCCTAGTACTGCCTGCCTCCAGTTCTCTCTAAGGCAAATCTTAGGGCTCCCAATTCCTTGGACCCAGAAAACTTACCCACCCCAAATTTTTAGTTTACATTTCTAACTTTTAAGAAGAAATGATAGGTGACATAGTACTGGACTTACTGTACATTCAGAGTAGTACTTTCATTTTGCAAAACCCTTCCAACTACACTGTCTCATTGGATTCCAGTTTTGTGAGGGAGGCAGGGAAAATGAAAAAGCTCGGTCTCAGAGAGGGAAATGACTTGCTAGAGATCACGCAGCTTGTGTTTGTGGGTCCAGGTCTAGATGATGAGTCCTGGACACGATGAGTCCTAGACAAGAACGTTTCTGTCTTTGCAGCAAAAGTTTTGCTGAGAGCCTGCTGTGGGCCCAGTTTTGAGGGTGATTTTCTCAGGCAAATGTTCTTGGGAATCTAACAGACAGGGCTCAAGTAAACTCATGGGGGTAATGACTAATGACTAGTAACTAACACTTCTAGGCTTCTACATTAGCTTCGAACCCCGAACTTTGAGGCACTTTCTTTTCTATACACTCTCCCAGGCTGACCTTTTATGTTTTTATGGCTCTTTCGAAATTTCTTGAACTTGACTTACATTTTAAGCTGCTTTCACCTGGATACTGATGTGTAATGTGAAGGGTGTGTGTGTGTGTGTGTGTGTGTGTGTGTGTGTGTGTGTAGGTGAGTGGCTCTTAACCCCATAGTGCATCTGAATCTTCTGGAGAACTTATGAAAAATACCACTTGGGTCCTATAGCCTAAGATTCTGTTTCAGTAGATCTGAGATGGAGCCTAGAAATCTGTATATTTTCAAAATTTATTGTAAAATCTAACATGTGCAAAAAAGTAGGTATAATGTATATACATGTATTAAAGATTACAATGAAATCAGTGCTTGTGTTTGCACCACCAAGTGTAAGAATTTGAATGTTGTCAGTCCCTTTACAACCTCTTCTGTCCCCCACCTAGATCAAGAATCTCTTTCTTCCCCCAGAGGTACTATCCTGCGCTTTGTGTTAATCATTCATTTGCTTTTCTTTATGTTCTAACCACTTGTGTATATAGCCTCAAGCAACATATTGATTAGGTTTGCAACCTGTTATATGAATGGAATAATGCTGTTTTTTTATAATTTGTCCATTTTTATGCATGCAGCTGTGGTTCATTTGGTTTTGAGTCCATTGCATGAAAATACCACAATTTATCTCTTCTACTGTCCCTAGGTATTTGGGTTGTTGCAGGTTTTTGCTATTACTAACAACACTGCTGTCCACATTTTTGTATATGCCTCTTGGTGCATGGACATGTCCAAGAATTTCCCTAGAGCATAGAACTTGGTGTGGAATTTCTGGGGTACGAAGTACAGCTTCCACTTCAGTAGATAATCCAATCTATTTTCCAAAGTGGTCACACCAAGTTATACTCCCTCCGCTGATGTATTAGTATTTCTCCCTGGGACTTTAAATCCTCATTGGTACCTAGTATTGCCAGACTTTGCCATTTTTGTTTATCTGGTGGATGAAATACAGTGTCTCATCTAATTTCTGTGGGACTCTTTTATTTTATGTTTGCATAAGTTTCTCAGGTGATTCTGAGGTATAGTGAGTTTATTGTACTATTGACGTGGATTCCCTTTCACACTTACTCCTGTTCAGCCACCCCTAGGGATGTCTCTGGATCCCAATTCCTAACCTCTAGAAACAGTCCTGACAATGCATGTGTTTTTGGTCAGTGTAGGTTGTTGTTGTTGTTGTTGTTTAATTTGATAACTATTGGATTGTTAGTTCAGTGAGATCAGGAGAGAGGGACAAGTGGCAGTTGTCCACAGATGTTATGGTGTCAGAATTTATAACTTTGAAAATCAGTGCTTTTAAAATTTTAAACAAAATTTAAAGCAGTGAGAATAGATTATGTATTGCCACTCTCTGACCTCTTTCTCCTCCTCCATCCTGTAATGATCTCTGGCATTTGCATGGTACATTGAGTACTGTGAGAAAAAAAAAAGGAAAGAAGGAGAGGAAGGAAGGAAGAAATACTCATTTCTCAGTGGTCTTGAGTGTGGAAATATATTGAAGCCTTTATGTTTCTATAAAGCTGGGTCCCAAGGGCCAGGACATGCAATGAATGTGAATGTTTTCCCATTAAATCAATCAGCCAGGATTTCAATATCTACTTTTTAGTAAGTGTTGCCAACTTCCATCTCCCTGGAAAATCACTGCTCTTCCCAGTGGTGGTATCTCACATCACTGAGGACGATGATGAGAACCGCCATGACAAAAGCCACCATGGATGCGCCAGCTCACTTTATCAAGCTCTTCAGTGAACAGACACATCCACACGTGACTTGGGGGAATCTCACCATCGTTAGATACTTGTGTTTGTTTCTCCTGGGCTCTAAAGAGGGATCTGTACTTGATCAGTCTTAGAAACAAGAGGCCAGCCTCCCAGCTTTTTTAGGGACTCTTCTGGAAGATCACTGAGAAGTGTTCAAAACTTCCAGTGATAACTTTCATTGCTTTTTGAGTCAACTGAGTACATCACTACCTGTTTGTTCCCTGAAGTAAGGTTGCTCCTCATGAAGCAGGCTGATGCATCTTAATGTCCCTTGATCTTCAGGGAAAGAGGTGAAGGTGAGGGGAGAGAAGATGACATGTCCAGTCTGAACAGCGGCAAAGCAAGAACCTACACCCCAGTCCTAACTCTCAGCTCTTTAGAATCTCACTTTCTCTGTCATTTTGGCAGAAAGGATGCTGGTGGTGGAGAAAAGAGTGAGTGATGGAGTGCCCTTTAGGGCAGTGTAGGCAGCAGAGGTTTTTTCTTTTCTTTTCTTTTCTTTTTTTTTTTTGACTCAACATTTATTGGTTGGATTGTATTTAGACTCTGTTACAATATTTCTTGTCAGGGGATATAGAAGGGCCAGAGAAAGGCAGTGAGATAATACCAATCATAGATAATGAACTGTAGGAGTATAAATTCTGAATGATCTTAATTTATGGTCCCTATAGCTGAGAATAATAAGGGAGATAATATTCAGAGCAGCAAGATAATAAAAAGTGATGATCTTGATGGAACACAGTATTCTAAATTAATAAAATCTTGAGAAATCATCAGGTTGAGGCATTCTATGACTTTTTAAGGAGTGCCGGGGCATGTTTAATGTCTACTACTTCCGGTGTTTTGGAATGTAGTCAAGGGAACATATTTTTCTTATCCAGCAAGATAAGATTTTGATCTCAAACTAAACGCTAGCTTTAAAATGGGAAACAAATTAGCAGCTTCTCCCCAGGGCCCCTTCCCAACCCCTTACTCATGTGCATACACGAGAAGAAAAGGAGTAGACTCAGCTGGGAGAGGCTGACATTCTTCCTGTATCAACTCATTCTCTTCCAGGGCATTGATTCTCAAGTTTTTGCTTTGTTTTGTTTTGGTTTTGATGGATTGCCTGCACAGAACCCTGCTACTGAGCTTTTTCTGTTTATCTAGATGGCTTAATTTTCAAAAAGGTTGAGAAATACTGTCCTGGAGCTCTGAAATGCCTAGTGAAGCTGCCATAGATGCAAGGGTACTGATGCCAGAATGAGGTCACTTAGCCTTTTGGTCCACTCCTGTTGTACCCTTGTTTGTTTCTTGTAGCTGCTGCAACAAATGAACACAAACTGGGTGGCTTAAAACAACAGAAATTAATGTTCTCCCAGTTTTGGAAGCCAGCAGTCTGAGATCAAAATGTTGGCATGGTTGCGACCTACGGAGGCTCTGCAGGAGAATCCATTCCATGCCTCTTTCCTAGCTTCTGGTGGCCAATAATTGCTCCCCTCACTTTGTATCTATAAGCAGTCGTTAGCAAAGACCTTTGGTTTTAGAAGGATGTTGAAGTTGGGAGAACCATCAGGAAAGATAGACAAATTTAAACAGAATAAAAATGTAATTGGAATGACAGACGAACAGACACAGACACACACCCACACAGGGACAGAACAATGTTTCTTTTTGCTTGTTTCAAATGGGATGATTCAAACTGGGACTGTCTTTGAGAAGTGTTCCCCCAGAAGCTCCCTTCCTATGCTGCTCACTCTGTCTACTATGAAGTTTCTGTTTTAAGACAGTGGTCTCTAAACTTTATTTTATTGTATGCCCGATCAGTAAAATATTTCTGAGCACCCCTGCTATGTATATATTCATCAATTATATGCATGTATTTGTTTCTAACTGTATAACACTATTGGTAAAACTTACTTTCTTTCTTACTTCTTTACATTAAAATAAATATAACCATGAACACACTTTGGAGACTACTGCAGGACATCTGTTCTCTATAAATGAGATTGGACTTCCGGGCTTGCTATGGCACATCACTCAGCCCCAGAGTCATTGATGTCTCTGTCCCTTTCCAGTCCTTTAAGAAGCCTGCTGGGCTGATTTCTCCACGCCTGCTTACCTCCCATCACCTGGGCTTGCTGGCCAGGCACTCCTCCATCAAGAAAGCCTTGCTGGTTTAGCTCTTGTGGCCTCTCTGACTCTTAAGTTTCAGAGACCATTTAGTCTCTTTTCTCAGACTCTGCATGGTTAGGAGAAGAAAGAAATCACTTCTTGCCTAAGTGCTATTAACATACCAACTTGCCCAGCAAAACCAAGATACTTTTCTCTATAGACTACCTGACAGATCTGAGGAACAGGGTTGCAGCCAAGTATTTTCTACTGGCTTATCTAAAAAACTGTCTTGGGGGTGGTGTTTATGATGGTGAAAAAGTAGAAATCATTTAAATGCTCAAATAATGAGGATTTAGTTAAATAAAATGTATTATGGCTAAATATTATACAGCCATTACATTTATGCTATCTTAAAATATTTAATAATTCAGGAAAATATTCAAGGCCTATTATTAGATTTTTTAAAGGTTAAACAGTATATGTTATATAACTTGTTTTGTAACTGTGTATGTACATAAGAAAACTATGTATATAAGGGAAGAATTCTATAAGGAAATAAACCAACATAGTAGCAGCAGTTATTTATAGATGATTCAGTTATCAGTGATTTTTATTTTCTTTTGGTATTTTCCAAATTTGAGTCCATAAACATGTACTACTTTTATAATAAGATAAAACATGTCCTTATTCTTTAATTCAAAGGGATTAAAAATTCTCATTTGAGGCTACATCTTACTGAATCATTTTGGACTTTTTTGGGGGAAAAATGTTAACTATTTTCTACCACAACAACCAGAAAAGCCAGTGGTACTGGCTGGGGTGACGTAGATAGACAAGCAGATGGAGAAGCAGGTTGCATTCCTGCCTGCCTGAGTAAGGTACAGGGTATCAGCGGTTCATGTCAGCTCACAAATCCAGAACACCCCACCCCACCCTCTTTCTGCTTGGCTTATCCTTGAAGGGTTAGAAAGGGTAACCACATGTGCATCAGGCTCAGGAATGTGCCCAGGGACCGAATGCAGCATGTAAGCAACATGTCCTACTTCAGTTTAATTTTTGCCCCTTCAGATGTTTCAGAAGTGTTCTGGGTGGTCATGCCTTTCATTTAAGCACAACTTTTCATCATGCTAAGGTCACTGTGGGTATTTGTATCCTCTTATCCCTCCCCTCTTCTGGAACTCACCATGAGAGGTCACATTAGTTCCCTGGTTCTGCTTGCAGAAATGTATCCTACATTTCCTGAGCAATGAGGTCACTAGGCCTTGGATCTTGACCCTTCAACAAGATGTGACTTGTGATTCTTTCATCCTAATAAAATTCTGATGCCAGTCTAGAAGCTGGAACTTGAGCTCCAAAGAGACTTTCCTTAATGAGTTGGCATGCCTTTAGGGTGTCTGGTGAAGTATTTCTTGCCTCCCCATCAGGGTAAGCCTCTTCCACGGTGTTGTCTCTGCTTCCTATGGGAGGCCATCACTGGGAGGGGATGGATTATGGTTGTGATGAAGATTATGACCCACCTTAACTGACTCTTAACAACCCTGCCCAAGAGCATGGGGAATAAGAAAGGAAGGAAGACAAGAGTTGGAGGGAGAGAGACCTGGGCTCTCGTCCCAGCTCTGCCATAAGGGATGACACTTTACGTCTCTGGGCTGTAGGGTCCTCATCTGTAATGTAAAGGTCTTAGACTAGATTGTCACTCTAATATTTCTAGCTCTAATATAAGACTAGGGGTAGGCATTTCCAATACAAAGGATAGCAATGTACCTGGCACAAAATTTGTGAGCCAAAGAAATCCCCACCAGCCTTAGGAGATGTATCCATTCCCCAAGATTTAGTCATGGTTTCTGGAAGCTGGACAGACCTATGGCTGAAGTCACTCTTTAGACCACAGCATCAAGATTGGAGAATTGCCTCTCAAAACCTATATGGCACCCTGGAGGGAAGAAAGAGGAGCTCCTTGAGAGGCTAGGGAGCCTGAAGAGTGTTCAGGCATAGTGCTGTGGGCCAGTGTGGCAGATAAAATTATGACCACCCAAAGAAGTCCTAATCCTCAGGACCTGTAACTATGTTGCTTTACATGGCAAAACGGACTTTGCAGATGAGATTATCCTGGGTTTTCCACATGGGCAGTGGAATCACAAAGGTCCTAATAAGAGAAAGAGGAAGACAGGAGAGCCAGAGTCAGAGAAGATGTGATGATAGAAGCAGAGGTCAGAGAGACAGAGCCTTAAAGATCTTTTAATTATGTACTATTTGTATCAATTATTAAATTCTGTTCTTTGAATCTTGTATTTCTTTACTAAATCAACAATTGGGAAGCCCCTACTGACTGCAGGACACTCTAGATTAAACTCTAAGTCTAGGGGACATCTAAAATCGGACAGACACCGTTCCATGTAAAGTGGCAGCCCAGAGGCTGCTGGTGCTGAAGTTGAAGGAAGAGGCCATGCGAGAAGGAATGCAGGAAGCTCCTAGAAGCTGGAGAAGGGAAGAAAATGCTTTCTCTCTTGAATCTCTTCTAGAAGGAACACAGCCTTCCAACCCATCTTAGTCTTCTGACCTCCTAAATTGTAAGATAATAAATCTGTGTTGTTTTTAAGCCGCTAAGTTTCTGATAATTTGTTATAGAAGCAATAGGAAACTAGTACTTCTGGTCTTGACCACATTTGGAGGAAAAGTGATATGCTCTTGAGGCACCATTCTAGAAAGGGCAGGGCTCAGAGGGTTGACTCGGCCTTAGAGACACAATTGCTTGTATTTGTTATAGAAGGTGTCCATTGAGTCCATACATTCTGTCCATACAGACAGTCTGTAACTTCCCCCTCCACAGGGAACAGGGCAACATCTCTGTGGTCGAGAAATGGAACAGAAAGAGCAGCAACAGGAGCTGAGGCTCGACATATACAGCTCTGTCTGGGAGTCTGGCTCCTGTGGGTAAGAAGAACTGAAGGCATCCTGGCGAAGGGACCTGGAAAGGCTCATTACTCGAAATGGGGGAGCTGGGGTGAGGCTACCTCACCCGTGGAAGGAAGCTGTGATGCTGCCCAGGACAGTTTCTGTGACACTCCTGTGTGAGGTGGCTGGAGAAGGCAGTGAAAGTACAGGTGGGTCCTGTGGTGAGCGGCTGCCAGTCAGGGACTGGCCCTGGGCTCTGAACCCAGTGAAACTGGAAGGACCTAGAGTCTGCAAAAAAAGTATTTTTCCATCCATGATCACGTTTGATTCTCATAAAACAATGAGATGTGTATTGTTAGTGTCCCTAACATATAGGTTGGCAAACTAACGCTAAATAGCAGACTTTAAAGAGAGGAAACTGGGTCTTTCTCATTCATTATGATGCCCCAAGTTTAGTAAGGAGAAACTAGGTCTTTCTCATTCTTTGTGATGTCCCAAGAGCCTGGCCCAATGCCCAGTATAAAATAGACATTCACTAAATATTTCTTGACCCACAGATGAATGCTGAGAGAGATGAAGTAAGTTGCCTGTCCACAAAATCTACAAATCCAGGCTGTGAGAGAGCCAGGTCCTGAATTCCAGTTTTTGATTACCAAATTTCATGTTCTTTCCATTGTATCAAACTCTTCATAAAACACAGTATTTTCCAGACCTACTCCTACATAAGACTCTCTCTCATTAGATGTCTGGCAGTACATTCTGAATCAGGGGATCGTCCATACACCATTGATGCCAGGGAGACTCGCTCTGTTCCATGACACAGCCAAATTATGTCCACTGTGGTAACTGGTAAGGGCAGAGACTTCAGAAGGATCTTGGAAAGTCTACTCTCACCCATGTCTTCTTTGTAGATAGCCAGGGCAAGGAGTGCTGTCTAAGGCAGCCGCAGTATGAAGCTTGTCATCCAGGCTGCATAGGGATGTAATCAGTGTGAGAAGGTGGGATCAGCTTACTGCAGCCAGAACTGCTGTTTTAGAATGTAAGGAGCATTGTGCTGAGAGTCAGGAGTGGTGGGTCTGCCCTTGGCTACCATGTGAACTCAGAACTCAGTTTTTCAATTGGTAGATTGAGTGGGTGGGATACTAGATAAGCTCTAAGAGCATGTGAAGTTGTCTTTCTGATTTCCTACTTCCTCTTCTTAAGAACCTTTTATTACTGTTATCTGGATTTTTTAGCCTCACTGATTTCTATGTATCAAATGGTTCAGATAAGACACATCTTAAAGAAATATGGGTTCTGTTTAAGAAAGGCTATGAACCGCTCAGAATTTATGCCTGAAGAGAGTTGAGGGAAAGCCAGGACCTTGCAAAGAGGAATAAAATAAAATTCTCTTGAATGGGAATAACTACAGTGTAATTCTGCTTAGAGTAAAAAGAGAATCTTTACTCATTCAAGATGAAGAAAGACTGGTTTAATATAAATTGAAGAGAGATATGTAGCTCTCTTCCCTGAC